CGTGCCCAGCGATGGAGCACTTTCTGGTAGGAAGGGAGATTGGGTGGCGTATGGGTGGGGGTGTACGTGTGTGTTCATGTGTGTCCATCCGTGTCCACTCGTGCTCCATGCCAAGCAGGGCAAGGCCGTGGCTTGACTTCTCTCAAAAAGAGAGGCCAGCCGAGGGACACCTCCTTGCCACACCTGCTGATCGAGTCCAGGCAAGACCTCCCTCGTCCCTCTTTGGCTCTCCAGGAGAGCTCATGCCTGTGTCTCCCTGACAGGAATATCCCTTCCAGCTGTTTTAGACTCCAGCTCCCATCAGCCTCCAACCAGGAGTCAGGTGTTGTGTCCTCCAAAACATCCGGAGGCCAACAGACTGAGGATGATCGCCTCAGAGCAATTAGAACGCTGAAATTTTGCAGAGTAACTCTTGAGCTTTGTAGCACACAAAGAGTGCAATTAGCAAAGGTGTGCACACGATTCCTGTCTTTGCAAATGAAAAGATGCCCAACCTTCTGTTTGCCTTGCGTCACCAGCTGCCTTTCTCCTCTGTAACCTGGGCACCTTTCCAAGGAGCCGAGGTCTGCCTGCGCTTTAGGCTAAGACCCTGTGCTCTGGAGGAGGAGGAGGAGGTTCGGCTCCTGTCTCTGACTTTCTGTGCCACAGGTGCTGTATTACACAACCGCCACCACAGAACCATATCTATGGGACACAGATTCTTTCTTTAGATTTATGGCTTCTGAATTGGCTTGATATAAAGATATGTGCTTGAAAGATTTATTTAGCTAGTTAGTTAAAATATGTAATTCCCACCTTTCTCCCAAAAAAGACCTGAGCTGCAGTGACTTCACATAAAACTATGCTTCTTCCAAAATGCTCCTTTTCAACCCAGAAACATCCGAATCTGCCAAAGGCCACCTTAAAGACCCAACCGCTCTGTCGCCACTGAGGGTTTTATGGACTGGCCAATGTGGGAAAGTTGCTGAACTTGCCCAAGAAGCCTGGGAGCAGTTCCCTGGTGCCTCTTGCAGGGCCCGAGGGGCCTGAGGGTCTCGGTGGGCCTGCTCTGTGCAGCCGTTGCTCCCTCGTCTCAGACCCCGAGATCCTGTTGGGCAGGCAGTACTCAGCAGCCCCCCCCCCCGGTGCCCAGAGGGCTCCAACCAGGTGGGCTTTGCCTGGTCCCGAGAGGTTCCACGTGGGGCTCCTGCATCTTCTGAACAATCCAGGGGCTGAGAAGGGAGGTGGCCGGGGTGCCAGAGTTCGTACAGCAGCAGCACCACCACCACCACCACCCCACCACCCCATCCGAGAGGGCGCGCATGTGTAAGCTAGCTGGGCTGCTAACATGGGCCGGGCAAGCAGGGCAGCAGAGAGAGCCCAACAAGGGAGATGCTTTGAGTTCGGTTCCCGGGGAGGGAGCCCGAGGGCTTCCGTTGGCTGAGCCTGGCACAGAAGAGCATCTTGTAACAGAGATGCCGACGGGTGACATCCTCTCATGTGGTTCTCATCCCGCCTGCCTGCCTGCCTGCCTTTGGGGGTAATGACTTCCATCCCTTTCAGATGTTTTTGCCGCACCACAGTTATTTGTACTTTCACTCTGTTTATAATTCTGATGGCGTGAGGCGGGGTGTGTGGGTGTAGACATACTCATGCAAACATGTGAAATGCATGTGTGTGACTTTGAAGGGGTGGGGTGGGGGTGGCCACCAGATTGCACCCCTCCTTTTGTGCCAGGAAGGACCTTCTGTCCTCTTCCAGCCTCTCTCATGGATCCAAACTCACTTGAGCGCCCTCATGGCTCAGCCACGCTCCACCGGCAGAGTTGCCATTGAGCATTTCTGATGTTGTCTGTTGGAAATGCCAAACCGGGTGGCCCGAAACCCACCTAAAAGCCTCCCCACCCCTTTGCCTTCCTTGGGGCATTTCAGAAATCCCTCTGCATTTCAGGAAAGTGTAGAAACTTAAGTATCACAAGGGAGGAGAACCCCAGCCCCCCCCCCCATTCCTTGCCTTTCTCACCCTGGCCTGACTCAGAAACAGGCATCCTTTGGGCATTTGGGGGGGGGGGGAAGAGAGAGGAGAAGGGGAGGAAGGGGAGGGTTAGGATTCTCCAGCAAGTTCCCTCCCAGGTTAGGAGGGTCCTTTGACTTTACACACACAGGAGAAAGGTGCCCCTCGAGTGATCACCAGTGCCAGGGCAAAGGGTCCCAATGCCAGGAATACCTGGCTCTTTCCCTAGACATTCAATTTGAATCTCTCAGTTATATACTCTTGGTTTGGGGGCAGGCTCTGTGTTTTACCTGTTTATAGAAACTGTGGTTTCTGGCCTCTTCATTCCATGTGTTTGTTTATGTCTTGATTCTGATTCTGCCTGGGTTTTGGTTTAGCCTCTGAGGTCCTTTCTCCCTGGCTTTGTGTATTGGAGTTTGCAGCTGCCCCTTCAGATGGCATCGAAAAATGGATGAAAAGTCAGCAGAGCTTTGAAAGGCTTGTTGAAGGAGGCATTTGCTGTGCGGCCCGTTCCCACACAGAAGCCGCGCCGGCCACTGTGCCCCCCCCCCAAAGGAAACGAATGAGCATTTCACAAGCAGCCCATCTCAGGTGACCCATGGCAATCGGATCCGGCTGTCCTTGCATCGTGGGCCGTGGTCGCCTGTTCCTCCCAGAACAGCTAGACTTAGCTGTGGTGGCTGAAGGGGATTAAAAGCAGAAGATTTAACATCTTTTGGGTGTGTTTGTGGGTGGGAGTATTCTTGTCACCCTTACTCCAGGCACAAGAATACAAGACAAGCAAAACTCAGAATGCTATCAAGCCATATCTATACTTATACCAAGATGAGCCTAAAAATAGCCAATGGTCAAGATTGCAGGGACAGAGTTTACACAGAGTGCCTGTCCAACAGAAACCGAGGACAAAGAGGCCTGCATTGTTTTTGCCCAACGGCTGCAGGGCACAGTCTTCTTATTCATAAGAGTGCTTTAACAGAATGTCCAGCCACTGAACAAGGTCTTTTGGGGGAAAGGCCCACAGCCATTTGACTTCTGTGTGCCCTGCAGGATTCATGGAGAGGGGAGGCATTCCTTTCTCCCTTCGGGAGGATGTCTTGGGTGCTGGGAGAGATCGCCCCGGGGGGGGGGGGAGCTCCTTGGCCTTTTATCTAGCTGGAGGCCTAAAAACAGCTGGCAGACTGGAAGGGGTGGAGGGGAGAGGGGGCTCCCATTCTGTGAAAGGCGAAGGGGGGGCTCCTGAGTCTCTCCCGGGGCTGTCTTTGGTTTCCCTTTGGCAAAGCCTTTGCAGGAAGGCTGGCTTTTAGCAGAGCGTTTGGTGAAGGGTCTGACACAGCCTTCCTGGGAAAGGTGGCTTTAATTACCTAGCATGAAGCAGGCCGTCTGACCTATTATGCAAAATCAAAGAAATTTTTCCCATCCTACCACAGGACAGACAGGTGTTGGCAGGAGTGGGTGGGGGATAAGAACGAGAGGGTTCCAGTCAGGGGGAGGGGGGCCATTCCTAGCTCTGATCCTATGAACCCAGGCAGCGGCACCAGGAGGAGCCCACAGCTTTCCTGATCTCCAGTCCTTCAGAAAGGCTTCCGGACAAATTAAACCTCCCCCCCCCCGTGCGTTTGCTGCCCTGGGGGAAGGGTTGGGGTTCCTTCCCTTGTCCCTCACCTGACACTCATGTGCCCGTGGGAAGGCAGAGGCTGCATAGAGGGGCCACAGGTGAGTCCAGCATGGAGGGGGGGACCATGTGACATTTGACACACCCACCCACACCCACCCACCCCTGCAGAAACCCCCCGTGCGTTTGCTGCCCTGGGGGAAGGGTTGGGGTTCCTTCCCTTGTCCCTCACCTGACACTCATGTGCCCGTGGGAAGGCAGAGGCTGCATAGAGGGGCCACAGGTGAGTCCAGCATGGAGGGGGGGACCATGTGACATTTGACACACCCACCCACACCCACCCACCCCTGCAGAAAACCGTCTTGCTGTAGGACCAGCTCTGCCGGACTTCCTCTCCATTCAAGGGTGGGCCTGGAAGGCCCCACCCCTCCCCGCACCTTCTCCTTCGCATTATTTCTGTCTTGCACAAATGGACCCCCTGGCACATTGGATGGGTGACCACGTGTTGAAAAAGAGGCATTTTGCCCTTGTGGCCTCCTCTGGAAGCAACTTGGCTCAAGGGCATGTCAGTGTCATGGAAGGAAAAACAGGGTCCCTGGGGGCGAGGAGAGGGGCATTTGCAGCCCTAAATCAGACTCCTTGCGAGTGGTGGCAAAGCCTTTCTTTTAGAAAGTGTGTTGCATGGTCTGGGCAAAGGGGCTCCCCGGGTGACACCTGCGCCACTGTGTATTTAGGGGAGCAAGAAAACCCAAATTGATCCTTGGAGCAAACCGTACTGATCCGGATGCCCTTTCCCCTCAGAGGCTGAGAAAAACTTTGACAGTCATTAAAATCTTCAATGAAAAGAAAAATATTCTTTATCCTTTATAGTTACTGAATGTTTGGGTTTCGTCTGTTTCTGGAAAAAGGATGGGTCGTAGTAATGTGATTTTCTGGGTTCCTTTTATTTCTTAAGGTAAAGTATATCTAGTATTTTAAGTGAGGTGTTTTAAAGAGTTTTTATGTCAATTGCACTTTAATACATTAGAATGGACTTTGTTACATTGTAGCCTTTGTAATTTAACTGTGTTTTTAAGCATTGCTAGTTTTTGGCTACTTTGTAGACTGTCTTGGGGGGCCCATCCCTAGACGAAAAGCAGCCTAGAAACAAAATGAAATAAAATAAAATACTTTGTATTTAAGCCAATTTCTTCATTTTAAACAATGATCATGTATTCTAAACAAATAATCTGAGTTGCACCGGTTTCCTTGATCTTCAGTTATTAGGCTTTGAGGATAATAAATCTAAGCAGTTTTGAATTCCTAATCTATGAAAACTGTCAACTGTTTAGTTGGTGCTGAGAACAGATCAGGCTTAATTTCTGTGTCTGAAATATGTTCCCTTCTTTCTTCGTAGGCGCGAGTTCCGCTAAAAAGAAGAAAGGTAAGTTTGTGTCCATATTTTTTCTATACTTCTTTGTTCCTTGTGTCATTCTTGTTAGAAATACAGACACCCCCCCCCCTCTCTCTCTCTGTTTCTGCATGCCAGGAGAAGGTGGCCAGTGGCTGGGGAACTCTGCTGTATTTCTCACCTTAGAAAACCAGATGGAGGCCACATCCGCTGGGGCATGCAGGGTTAATTAAAGATGGGCATAGGCAGGAGGAAGGCGGGGAACATTCCCTGAGTTGGGCAAGCAGGAATCTTATTGGGATGGAAAAACCAGGTGTCTGGCCTGCAAAGTGATGGCTTGCCTCCCTGAGCACCTCTCGGGGCTACATGTAATTGTGTTACACCTGAAGTGTTCGCTGATTTAGTAGCCAAATGGGCCTCTGGGGCAGGATTAATCAAAACAGCGATGGTCAGTCTTTCCCCTTGATTTGGGACCTGCCTCTTCAAACCTGCCCAAGGCGCACCTCTTGAGATCCTCCAGGAAGCGCAGGCTAGGATGAAGATGTCAGGCGTGTACCAAGGAATTTCATCCTGAATGCTCTGGGGTGAAAGATACAGATTCTGGGGCATGGTTCAGGTGTACAGCTTTCAGCCTGTCTGGAGTGAGGGAGAAGAAAGCCGAGGGGCGAACTAGCCAGCTCAGACCTAAAAGGCGGGAGCCGTGAGTGCCGATCCAGAGGGAAGCACTGACATTTTTCTGCGAGCGCCTTGTGCTGCTTTTGGTCAGAGGAGGCAGCCAGCAGCCCCAGAGGTGCTGACTGGCCCGAGGGCACCACCGGATAACAAGGGGCTTTGTGCCACTGGCTGGCCAAGCCTGGGCTGGCCAAGAGAGAGAGAGAGAGAGAGAGAGAGAGAGAGAAGAGCAGGCCAGGGCATTTCACAGTGGCTCTGGGGCTCCTCGTTCCTGGCCCTGTGGAAGGACCTTGCCACCTTTGCTGGTGTTAAGGCCACAGGCGCCTGCCTGCCTGCCTGCCTGCCTGCCTCGGCTAGTCAATGGCTCCCCGGCAGCCTCCAAGGCCGGTGGAGGGGAGGGCCTGGGCTGGGTCCCTTCAGGAACCCACTCCCTCCAGGGAGGGCACCGGCCAAGTGGTGGCCCTTCTGCCCGCTTCTTGAAAAATGGTGGGGAGCTCAAAGAACAGCAGGCCCTTCTTCTCGGCTATGGTGTTAGATTGTCCACATCCCTTGGTGACAAAATGGGGTGCTGGGTCCAAAGTGAACGGGGTCTCCTGGGGTGCCCTTTGCCTTGGCCAGGCCACAGACAGGAGATGGTGGGCACACCAGGCCCTGCTCTCTCTGCCACTAAAGCTGAGGCACTTCAACCCACTCATTAAGAGTAAAACAAGGCAGTAACTGTCACCAGCAATCATCGTAGCCTGACATGGGGAAGAATAAACAGCTATTTCCCTTGGTGCCAGAAAAGCCCATGAAGGTGGCAAGCCTTTCCTGGTTACTGCTTTCCACAAGGAGGATCATCTCATGCCGTAGCCGCCTCGGGTCAAGGGAGCCACGAGGGATGCGCTGGGGTGGGACGATGCCATCCCTTCCCAGGAAGGAGACTCTTGGCTGAGTGGAGCAGGACATGGGTGGGCAGCCGTCGTGCCCGCAAGGCAGGTGGTCTTTACACAGCGTCTTTCCAAGTGAACGGCAGCCCAGTGGCCCCTGCCAGTTCCCTGGCCCACTCGCCTGAGTGTGTCCAAGGGGTGGCCACGGCCCCATCCCTCCCTCCCTCCCTTTGCCCCCCCAGCCCCCGAGGGACAGAAGTGACCGCTGCCCTTCTTTCCACAGGTAAAAGAGCCGGCCCACCTGGACCTCCCGGCCCGCAAGGACCCCCTGGCCCCCCAGGGCCCCAAGGACCCCCTGGAATTCCAGGGATCCCTGGAATTCCAGGCACCACAGTGATGGGGCCCCCGGGGCCCCCGGGCCCTCCTGGCGCTCAGGGACCCCCTGGGCTGCAGGGCCCTACCGGTAAGTGTCTGGGAGGTGCAGAGGGTTACAAGGATGCCTCCCCAACCTGTGGTTTCAACCTGCCCAGGACAAAACCCCTTGCTTGGCCTGCAGCATCGGCATTCCTTGTTTTTCTTTGCTGCTCACAACCCATTCTGGGTTCCTCAAATGTCCTTCAAACTGCATTTTGATAATGGGGCAGATAGCAACCCCACACCTCCACAACCCCATTTAGGATCAGTGTCCAGTCCTTGGTTTGATGAGAGACACAGACACGGTTTATGAGACAGCAGGAGCAAAACTGGCACCAAAGCGCACATAACAGACTGTGATCTTGACATAAACTTTTAAAGCAAGAGGCTGGAAGGAGTCAAAAGAAAGAGACCTTTCACAGCTCTCTGGCTCTGTGTTCTGCAAAAATGAAGTGCCTCCACCATCTCCTCCATTTTCTCCCTCTAGGCTAACAACGCCTCCCCTCTCCCAATTTGAAGAAGTAATTCTTTGCTAAAAGAAGGTTCTGGGCAGGCTGATTGCACATCTGGACAAGACACCCCCCCAAATTGCAGATTGGCCACCTTTTGCCTACTATGAGGGTGGGCAGCTTCATCCAAGTTGCCCCTTCCAGATGGAAGCTGGACTTGGTTTCTTTCTAAGGAAAGCAGCTTGCATGAAATTTGTTGACAGGTGATGCCCTTTATGGAAACATGATGCAGGACAGGGGGTGGCACAGCACTTCCCCCATGTCAGTATCCCATAATATAGTTCCAGTACTATGTTTTTTTCCCTGGAACTGAAATCCTGATGCTGTGAGGGTGCCTTCTGTAAAAACTTGGTGCCATAGGCTGTGCATGACCATGTTAATTGTTAGTTTATTATTATAAAATAATCCATTTTGCAGGTACCACAGATAAAGCAGGACCTCGAGATGCACAGGTCAGTGAATGAGTCAGTGTCATTCCACCCTTGAAACGACCAGATTGGGGCCTCTGTTTTAATGAGAAAGGGTGGCATTTTGCAAATATGTCTTTTAATGAGACGAAAGATTCTTTCTTGGCGACACGTTGGCTTCCACTTGCATTACAAGGGAACCAGCTTTAAATTGTCCTTCTCTGATAATCACATTAATTTCCTTCAGATGATGTGTTGAGATGCTTTTTGACCAATTCTGTGTTGATCTGGTTTTTAAAAATATTAAATGTAACTGACAGAGTTTGCACATAGCTGTTTCAAATGTTATGATAAAAACACACACGCCGAGTAAAAATTGTATTCTCCCATGTGTGAGAGAGAGACAGAGAGAGAGAAAATAGTTGAAAGTAAATAAAATGGTTACTTTGTCTTTGTTAAAAACATTCAGGAACCTTTACTGCTTAAAACACATGTAGAATAGAATAAATGCACAGTGCTTTGACATTTGGTATATTTTAAACTGGTACTTGACTCTATTATCCTAGTATATATTCCTTAAACTTGACAGGCATAGTTACTCTAATTAATAGACAATTGACTTATTTAACAGCTAAACCTATCAACCCCATGCTAACACTATCACATATTTGACCCTATCAGACAACCATCTATCAACTAACACCACTCTAGCAAAACTATATCCTATTGCATATTTATCCTTATCCGACCACCTGCTAATTGCCACTTATGGTTCACTATGAAAATATCACATTCCAGTCCTTCCCATAGAAACATATACATGGTGTGGCATACAATTATATCTTCCAAGATTTGGGAGGTGCTCACGTGCTAGTGTTCACACCAACAAAAATATGCAAGAGGATCTTGACCTCTTTGGCAGCCACTTCTGACCCCCTGGAACAAGACGATCGGTGTCTTCTTGATGCTTGCATCTCCAGACAGGTAGTGGAAAATGCATGCAGTGGAATCACATGTGAACTGAGTCCCATTGGGCGTAGGCAGCCACGTTCCCATAACGTGTTTCAGCAATGCTGTCAGTGTCGGAAATGGCACCTTTCTGAGATGTACAAAGTTTTTATCTCAAATCTGTCGTGTTTTGATTTTCAGCCTGCAGTTGTTCATCTTCAAGGCCAAGGATCAGCAATTCAAGTCAAGAATGGTAAGAATCCTAAGCAAGTGGTCCCTGGAAAAAACAGAGCAAGAGTGTGTAGTTTTTAATATTAGAACAGAACTCCAGGAGGTTATAATGGTATAGAGCAGCTAGAGAGTCAGCTTCTGTTTTCCTTTGGTGTGTGCTCTCTTCTCTCCCTGTGGCCACTTAAACATTGGCTCCCGTCTCAACCAGCCCGGCTGCCTTTCACCTTCACTGCCCTCTCCGTTGGCCTTCTGCCTTTCCATTGGTCTGACATGGGAAGGCCATCTAGGGGGGCAAAAGAGGGAGGAACTAGCCTGGGGAGCTGGGAGTTGGGAGCAGCTCTTGTTGGAGAAAGGGGAGCGAACCCTCTTGCTTGGTACTTTTCTACTAGAAAACAGCCTTTGAGCCTCTTTCAAGGGTTGCCTTCAAGACCTGGCAGCTTGTTAGAGGGAAAGCACAGTCAAAATGCTCCGTCTGTGCGAGGTTTCAGCAGCCTGCCCCTCACCCCATCCCTCGTGCTTTGAGCTGCTTAGCCTTCCATGTCGTGAGATTTCACCTGACGCTCCCCTGGGTCTCAAGTCCGCCTGCTTCTTCTAAACTGCCCCTCCTCCTAGCGAAGGGGTCCCTTTGCGCTTTGCTTCTGCCACCAGAATGAGCTTTAAAGTGTGGAAGTGATTGTGCCTCTGAGTCTGGGTTCCTTCTCTGAAGTATTGGCCAAGAAATGGGGGACGGGGGCTTCCTCATTGGAGAGATCACACCATTTCTGGTTGCAATCAAAGTTGTTAGTCCACAGCTGGTGTGCCAGGAGGAGAGAAAGCACCCAGCCCTTGAGAAAGGTTGCCGAACTGCCCGTATGCACCCACACATGCTGCGCGCGCACACACACACACACACACAAGACAGATAATTGAATGAATCTTTATCGCCCCCAGTTTCTTTGGCATTGAAATGTTTGCTACAGAAAAGCCACCAAACCTGTGGGGGTGGTAGAAGCGAGAGGAGGACCAGCGCCAGAGACTCAGCCTCTCCCGCTTAGCAAAAACCAACGACAGGGAGGGAAGCAAAGGGACCGGCAGCCCAAGTGGAGGGCTTGGTGTTCGCAACCCTCCTTTCTCTTCCCCTTTGGACTGTTTCTCCACCCTCACCCCTGTAGAAGAAAAATAGCTTCTTCTACAGGCATTCGGTACTTCTCTCAGCCAGAGATTTACCTGACCTGACATGTGGCCACTCTCAGCTGATTAGCTCTGTGGGATGGAGGACAAGCGGGAGGTGGGGCTCCCTTCAGTGTGCAATGTCGTCCTAAGCTGAGGGTTCCTCAAAAGGTCATTTTAGCACTCTGCGTGCCTCCCCCCCCCCCACCGGATCTCAGCTGGGAATCCCTATGCAAGAAAGGTTTGACCAAAGGGTCTTTAGCTCGGCTTCAGCAGGTTTCAGCCCAGCAGCCTAGCCTGCTAGGGAAGGAAATCTGGGGAGTGCCTGTGTTTGTGCTGCTTTTGTGCCTTCCATCTCGATGAGTCCTGAGTGACTGCCGTTTTCTCATACTGAGATCTTTCAGGTGGAGTGCTGAATGACTGGTCTCGCATCACCATGAACCCCAGAGTGTTCAAACTGCACACCCGCAGCGGAGAACTGGAGGTACTGGTGGACGGCACCTACTTCGTCTATAGTCAGGTAGAAGTGAGTACGGTCTTCGGCCTAACTCCATTTCCTATGTCCCAGCTACAGATGTGGATGTGAGAAGAGCATAAGGGGGCCGGGGGGGGGGCAGTTGGAGGCCGTGAAGGCAGGAACCACATGGATCCTTGTTGGGTGCAGTTTGTATTTAGGGTGCAAAACTGGGTGGCCAATGGATGCCACTCATGCAGACCATGGCACTGGCTGCTGCATGTCAGGTCCCAGAGAGCCTTGGCTTCCTGTCTGTCTGTCTGTCTGTCTGTCTGTCTGTCCGTCCGTCCGTCCGTCCGTCAGGGGAAGCTGAAGGGACCATGGGCTGATCAGGGAGTAATGGTGATTCAGAGTCCTTAGTCATGTCCAGATTAGGCTGGAGGTGCTCCGGAAAGCTGTGGCCCAATCCCATAGGCCCAGCGTGGGCAAGGCCTGACCCTCTGATGTGGCCCACCAGTGACGCCCCCTGGCCCCAGGCAGCGCAGGCCCACAGCATCTGGAGGGGCACCTACTGCCCATCCCTGGCCCAGAAAGCACTGAGCTAAGGGTCCCCCAGGTCCCACTGGCTGGCTTTTCTTCCAGCAAGTGGCCTCTGTGTATGAATGTGAGGGTGTAAAGTCAGGTGTCCTGTTTCAGAACAGCCACCTTTTGCCTGCCCTGCTGATGGCATTTCTGCAGTGGTTTTTAAATGGGTGCAGTGTTCTCTGCAGAATACACGTTATTGCAGCCAGCATCATTCTTACCAGAAACAGGCCAAGGAGACCAAGAAATGTCATGGTGGTCAGCGGTCAAATAGGTCCCTGTGCTGACCATGCCTTTGCCCCCACTGGAGCAAAGCTGAGCACACAGTTCCCCTGTCTTCCAGTCCATTCCCAGATGGGCTTGGCAAGGCTACAGGGTGTCAGGCAGTGAAGCTGAAGACAGATGCGGCCTCATGTGGCTGCTGAAAGGTGAAAGCAAGCAGAGAGGGGTTTTGGAGAGAAGAAAGTCCAATGAATTATTTTTGCAAAATTGCATCTAATCAATTCAAAAGTTCACAGATGCACCCTTTGAGTGCCACTGAGTAGAGGAACGGCTTTGGCAAGAGAATCTGGTGCCTGGAGCCAGCACAGGCCTTAGGAGGCAGTCAGCAGGACGCCTCCCATATGTGAGGCAGGCATGTCATTCTTACAGTTTATGTGGAGAGTCTGCAGTTGTGCATTTGCTTCAGCGAAGCCCTTCTTTTCATGTCTGCTACCCTCCAGGTCTATTACATAAACTTCACAGACTTTGCCAGCTACGAGGTGGTGGTGGACGAGAAGCCCTTCCTGCAATGCACGCGAAGCATTGAGACGGGCAAGACCAACTTCAACACCTGCTACACGGCTGGGGTTTGTCTCCTCCGAGCGCGGCAGAAAATCGCTGTGAAAATGGTCCACGCTGACATCTCCATTAACATGAGCAAGCACACCACCTTCTTCGGAGCCATTCGGCTAGGAGATGCACCTGTGTCTTAAAACAACAGAGCGCCTGGCGGGAGAGGCACCCAGGACCCCGCCGTCCTGCCATCCAGCAGAGTGGCCGGGGGCAAAATCACTGCTGAGGACTCAAGAGAGGTGAAAGGATCAGAGAGACTTCGCTGTGGATGCCACCACACCTGAAAAGAGGGCCACTTCCTGTGGCTTGCATGGCGGGAACATTGAAAGTTGGATGATGACGTGCCAAACCGAGGGAGGAGGGCAGGCCCACCCCGACACCCACTCCAGACTTGTGGGGAGGGGGTGGTTTCCGACTTCAGAGTTGCACTAGGAAGAACAGCTGTGGTGCAGAGGGGCCAGAGGAAGGGGTCCTCTGGAGGGCTGCTCTGCCCACCCACCCGCCCCAAGCACGCCCATGGGAGCATGACCTGTTTGGGGTGGCCTGGGCTTCCCCGCCCCCAAAGCCCAAGGAGCCCTTTCAAAGGAGCTGGGGGTCCTGACGCCAGGGGAGAAGACGGACGTGGTCTTGGCCAGGGATTCTGGGCAGCGACAGGAACATCAGGAGAACAAGACCCCTGAGAACAAAATGAAGGCTTCTCTGGGAAGCCAACCCTTCCCAGAGCTTGTGTTACAAAGGTGCCAGGCAGGGCAGCCCCAAAGCCCCCCTCCCTGTGTTGTGGCTCCATGCCAGATATTCCAGGGCTTCCCTGAGATCCTCCCTCCAGGGAGGGATGGGGGGTGAAGCCGTCTTGTAGCCAAGGAGTTCTCGTTTCAACAGGGACAACATAGACCGGGGGGGGGGGCTGTTCCCAGGGCCTCCTGAAGTGCCTTCAGCAAGGCCACTCTGCCCAGTTCAAACACCTCCACCCCAAGGCAAAGGTCTGGTGGTGACAGGCTTCCTCCCTGGCTCCCTGGCTCGCTTGGGGTCTTTCTGGCTTCACATGGAGAGAGGAAAATCTGCCCTGGGTGTCGTGTCCCCAGCCCCATTTTGCCACCTGCCTCCTGGACTTAGATGACTGTAGCAGCAAGAACAGAGAAGGGAGAAGGTGTCTGGGGGCTGCTGGAGGGGCTTCCAGCAGCTGCTTCCTTGCTGCTCCTGTTCTGGGCTGAGTCTCAGTCAACCCAATTGGTGGGAGCACAGCTTGCACCTCTCATTTGAGGCTGGTCCTTTCCACAGGTAGACTGCTCCTGGGAGAGGGGTGGGCAGCTGCGTTCCAGCGAACATCCAGACTTTGCAGGCCCATTTTCATGGGCTAGAGAACAAGAGAAGGACAATTTCATCCCCTTGCAGGGAAAGCTTGCTTCTGTGGCTGTGGAATGCCCCAGTGGCCAGGGTCTTCGTGCCCCTGGAGCTGTGAAGCAGCGTGCAGCTAAGAGCCATTCACCTGACCTCTGTGATGGACCCCAGCGCCCTCCCTGTTACGATGCGCCTCTGAGGAGGCCAAGCAGAAACCTTCCGACAGGCAGTTGGTGGGAGCCTTTGGTTGGTTCCCTCCTTGAACGATCCACCCACCCACCTTGCCCTTATGCTGTGCGAGGTGTCGCCTTTTGTGGCTATCAAGTCTTTGGCTGGGAGGGGGCACAGGCACCACCTGCCCTCGTGGGCTCCTCACAGCTGTGGGTCCCGGGAGGCACAATCAGCAGCAGGCTGGGCATCTCTCCGTTCTCAGTGGTCTCTATTCTGACGACAGGGTTGCTCCTCTCCACCCTTGCCAGGTCACAGGAGCCTCTGTCAGCTGGTGGAAGAGCTCTTTCTGCATTTCTAAAGCAAAGAAAGAAAGAAAGAAAAGCAAAGAAAGAAAGAAAGAAAGAAAGAAAGAAAGAAAGAAAGAAAGAAAGAAAGAAAGAAAGAAAGAAAGAAAGAAAGAAAGAAAGAAAGAAAGAAAGAAAGAAAAGCATGTAGTGGGGGGCGGGGAGGCAGCCCTGAGATCCCTGGCAATGCAGGTGCAGGCGGATAGTCCTGCCAGCAGGAACTCTGTCAGAGAGGCTTTCACAGCCTCTTCTTATCTCTTGGAAACTGACAGGAATGTAGCAGAAGGACAGCCCACATCTTGGACTTCAGGCACACCCCAGGTGGAGGAGGACAGCCACCTCTCCAGTGCATCCCTCCTGCCAGCACACCTGCCTCAGCAGGGGCTTGGTGAAATGCCCCTGGCCCTTGCATGCCTCCTCTCAGTCTCCCAGCCCAAAGGGCAAGCCTCTCACCTTTCTGCTGGGTGCCGAGCTGAGCACCCCAAGGCCACCTCCCGATCGCACGGGCCTGTGGGTGTGGGAGGGAAGGGGGCTTTGGCAGCAGGCCCAGCCCTGCAGAGTTCTCTCTGTTCTTCGTTCACCTCTTGGCTGTTGGATCCCTGGTGATTTGGAACAAGTAGCGTCCTGAGGAGGGGGCTGCTTGTGGGGAGAGGGGAGGGCTGGTGATCCATCCCTCCATCCCTCTCAGGGTTGCTCCAGCTCTGAGCAGCAGGAGTGCTACACACCTGGGACCGAGAGAGGCCATCTTGCTGGCACAGGGAGAGGTGTCTTGGGGTGGTATGCTGCTCAGCTGGCCAACACCAAAGCTCACCTTGTGTGACCTGTATATAAAAAATATATAAAGATATATATAGATATATATAATGTATATAGACTGGGATGTAATTTTCCGTAAGTTGTCAGTATTTTCTTTGAAAATAAAATGTTTCTGATGTGACTTCATTTACTCCCATTTTACTTTTGGGAGGTATCCACACAGCCTGTGGGGATGGACGGGGAGGCGTTTGTGGTTCTGGATGTGAATTTGGATTTAGAAAGGAACAGAGCCTGGTATCAAGGACCACCAGAGTCTGCAGCGACTCGCGTGCCTCTTTCCGTTGCCCACGTGGTCCCAAAAGAGGCGATTTGTGGCCAGGATGGGGGTGTGGAGGTGGTGGAGGGGCTTCAGGGCTCTCTCTCTCTCTCTCTCTCTCTGAAGTGGGTTTGCACTCAGGTCCAGCTGCCACAACTGCCCCAAATCAGCCGCGTCCCCGTCGGTCAGGTGGAAGATGAAGGTATGCGAGGCATCCGGTCTCTGCCTCTGCCCGATATGTGCCCCCCCCCC